GTATGTTTTGAAAAAGGGAACATCCGTTGTAAGTATGGAAAATTGTTGAAAGATAATGGGCTTAGAGAAATTGATTTCCTAATAAGTTGTTATTGTTGTGAAAGTTTGGGAACAGGGGTTAATGAAATGAAATAAGAGATGAATCGCTTATAGCGCTGAATGGATTGACTATTTTGAGAAAAACTTATACTTATGTATACTTTTGTATAAACTGTCACATTATTATTCTAGTACGAGATTGAGCATTTATGATCATAGCTATCTGTAAGTTGTTATTGTTGAGGATCATGTAGAGATCCCTATTGGACTATATGTTCGTCCCACGTTGTTGAATCTTTTTCAGGTGTTAAGCAGGATGTGTTACAAGATATGGAACTTCTTACTTGTTGGCCACGGGGCCTCTTTTGTGTTGGCGGAATGCCATATGTGTAAAAGGGTTACACCCTTCTTTTGATTCTTTAATGATGTAAACCTTTGGGCATTTTATTCAGTATACTCATTTTGTATTTAATATGCATTCGGATGAGAGAATTGTTATTTGTTTCTACTCATGAGACTTAAGAGTTTATTTCCGCATGTTATCTCTGAATTTGACTTAAGTTAATGAATTTGGTAATGGCTTCGAGTAATAAAAAGTAGGGCGTTACAAAATTAAAATAACAAAATTTGATTTGATAAAAACTACTCAAACATTTTTATCCAATTTCTATCAAAATCATTTTAAAATTTCTTTTTTTTTTAATCAAAAATTTATCTTTTCATCAAATTTGATAGAAAAAATTCATCTCCAATATTTCATCTCTTTAAATTTTTATTAAATTTAAATTTGATGAATCTCAATTTAATAAAAAAATATATATTTATATTGATTTTGATGAAGATTTGATAAATAGGTTGGACGTGATTTTTAAATATTTTTTTTTATCAAATTTAAATTTGATGAAAAAAAATAGAGTTAAAGATTAGAGATGCTCTTAGATTGCCTAACTGTTCTATGGGTGTTCGTGGTGCGGTTTGTAGGTAAAATTATAAGCCAATCGTGAATGGCGGATTGAATTACGATTTGAATGGTTTGTGCGGTTTCAATTTGCTAGTTGATTGAAGAATAATATTAAACAATTATTAAGCATTTACATAATATATAACAGTAATTTGCATAATTATATATATATATATGTATATTGTTTTCAGGTGATAAAGCGACGTCGTACGGAGGAGCGTGGACTTGGTCAACAGGATTATACGAGGATAATTATTTCCTCCCCGTACACATTTCATTAGAGGTAAATATATATATGTATGTATATGTATTAATTATAATGGAGCGAAGCAGTTTCGAATGCGGATTATAAATTTCAAATCACGGTTCAAACTAACCCGCGATTAGCTAGCGGATCAATGTGGATTGGGCGGCATTTTGCATAGTCATAAAACTGTTATACCCCAACATTTTCACTCCGCTTGGATCGGGTGGTGAGAAAAAAAAAATAGTTATAATATCTCATTTAAGTGACAAAAGAAACAAAATGATTGTGTTTGTCCCTAACATGTTTGGAAGGAAGCAAAACATGTGAGAGAGATAAGATTGAGATTTTTTTCCTTTTATATTTTAAAGAACAATCTTAGTATCATAAATATTTTACAATTAATTAATTTGTTTCTCTCAAAATTTCATTAATTTTGGTGAAAAATAAAATAATCTTCATAAAAAAGGCACTCATGCCATAAGTCCATTTTTGAATCTTGTGGGCCATTAGACCAAAATTTTAATCTCTTTAGGCAAAACTAACACAATTTGTCCGAAAGGACAGCTATATATATGTTGAAATCAACCTATTTGTCTAACTGTTAAAATTCACTAAACTAACTATCTGTTAAAATGTGACACATGTCACTCATTCAACAACCTATTTGTTGAATATCACATATTCTCTACCTTACCAATACCTGCTGACGCCAATCGCTAGTCATTGTTGTTGGTCACCGTCGGTCATCGATGACTTTTCTAACCAATTTTTCGACGACTTTCCCGACGTGTTCTTATCACCAAACAAGATTTTATTTGGAATCTAATGCCTTATACCCATTTGAAATGTATGTTTCACCAATTTTTCTTAATAAAAAAATTTCTCTCTCATAAATTTTCTCACAATTTCTCACTAAATTTATGGTAAATCAAATGAAAAACAATTTCTCATGATGTCTCATCTAGGAGTGGGCATTGGCCCGCCCAACCCAACTCTATTTTTTTAGGGTTTGAGAATATTATTTTGGTCTATAGGACTGGACTGGGCCGATAGTTTTTTTGGGTGGGTAGGGTTGATAGTTTCAACCTAAATGATTAATGGGCTAGGTTTAGAAATTATATTTTTGACTCGGCCCAGCCCGCTACATATATAATTTAATTAATTAATTAATTAATATAATAAATTGAAAATATATATACTCTTTTATTGATGGTCATGTGATTTGTAAGATGTTCAAGTGGTCACTGTTTTGTTGAAGATATTCACAAAAAAAATGTTTAAAGAAATTTGAAATTTAAATTATGGATATTTCTTTTAGTTTGATGCATTATTAACAGTTTGGTTTAAAAAAATTTGTAATGTTTTAATTAATATGGTATTAAGGGTTGGTTTGACATAAACTAAATAATACAAAAAGTCAAAAAGTCACTATCCTATTTAAGTCACATCATCTTATTTAAATCACATCACCTCTTTAACACATCACATCAAACTCAACCCAAACCCAACCTATATAAGCCAATAAGGGTTGGTTTGGCAAGGGCTCATCGGGCTTTTTTGGCTCAATGAGTCATAAAAGACAGAATAGGCTCATGAACCACAACAGACAAAACATCCCATCCAACCCCATAATCATTACACTCTTTTCTCACAAAAAAATCAAAAAAGCCAAAAAGCCAAAAGCCCTTCCCAAACTAAGCTTTTGAGCCCAGGCTCATATAGTCAAAAAAGTCAAAAAGCCAAAAAACCAACCCACTTCTCAAACGGAGGCTCAAAAAGTACACTTTTTTAGAACATCCCAAACCAACCCTAAATCTTTAATGGTCAGTTGCTTTTTAGGCCTTTCTATATTTATGAAAAAATAACAGATACTATGATGTTTAATTTATTTTTTATTTTTTATTTTTTATAACTTATGTATATGACTTGATGGACGAGTTTGAGAATTATAATTTAGGGGATTTGATCTAAGTCCCCCTCGTAATAAAACTTTAATGCATTAAGAACAACCACAAAAAAAGTTTCTTTAGAAGTCCATCATATACCAATGTTATCAAAATATCCTTAGTGACTAATTTAATATTTTAAATTTTAAAATGATACAACTTTTGATCTCGATATTGGTTTTTAATAAGAGTAATATTTTTTGAATCATCTCATCAATATCTATCATAAAATTTATGTTGATTATGAAATTCTTTAAAAAAAAATTACTGTTTAAATTACCGTAAAGAGTAATATGTTACTCTGATTGACAGTAAAGTTTTACTATCACTACGAGTTTACAAAACAAATCACACAACCAGAGTAACATGTAATTGTCACACGAACAGGATATAAAAAAAATAAAATAAAACAAAATACATGATCGAACAAACAACAATCAAGCAATCAAACAAATAATTAATAAAAAATTCAACATACATGATTGAACTCAAATAACAATCAAACAATGAATGAATGAAACTATAACTCTAACACGAACAATAATGAAATAAAAAACAATGATGATTGATCAGTTTAAGATTGCAACGATTGAAGAATGACCGATGATTGAAGAAGAATGAACATAGATTACTAAAGAACAATGAATAATAAAGAACAGTGAATGATAATTGAACAATGATTGAACGGTGAACAATGATCAGTGTTCAATAATTAATGAACAATGATAATTGAACAAAGCTTCAACATCAATAGTTAACAAATTTAATTCAAATCTCTTAAATATGTATTCAGGGTAAGATTATCCAGAAAAAAGAGTAAAAATATATTAGTCTATACGTTATGAAGAACACACGTCTTACTAAAGAGTTTACGGAATAAAATATTTTAAGATATCCTTTACCCACTAATATATTAAATTAATTAATTACACAGGTCCATTGTTCAGGCTAAGTAAGTTTAAGGGGTGGTTTGAGATGTTCTAAATAAATGTATTTTTTGACTTTTATAAAAAACATGTATAGAAAAATAGAGAGAGTGAATATAAAAGTAGAGAAGAAATGTTGATAAATACAACCCAAATAAGTATATATACGTAAAAAAAGTATACTTTTTTAATGCATGCCAAACACCTACTAAATAGATACAAAATCCTATATTAGTACCTGCAACATGAGTTGAGATCCTTTCCTTCCTTGAACTCATGCATTATAAGTTGATTCAAAATTTGTGTTGAAAAAACAAATTTGAATTTGTTTTATTATTTTTTCATTTTTAAATAATCAAATCTAAACCCTTAGAGCAATTCAAAATATATCTCTGCTGTTGCAATCAGGAAGGCAAAGAGAAAGTTTAAGGAGGGGATCTCAACTCCCGGCAACACAGCCGTAGAATGACCACCCGCTAGTCTCACCCAATCACCAAAAACCTGAAGACCACGCGTCCATATAAGAACCTTTCGCTTCAAAACTAGACGATTCGTAGGCTTCTGTGGCTGAAGACAAAACAAGGGATACCAAGAAACACGGCAGAGAGAGAGAGAGAGAGAGAGAGAGAGAGAGGGGGGCAATGGATTATGGGGGGCGTTCTAACAGAGCAATCTTTCACAAAACGACCCCTAATCACGGCTCATCATCCATCCATTTTCGCTACCAAACGAAAAAAACCACCAGCTTCTTCCACAGGGTCGTACACTAGCACTCTTTCATTTGCTTTTGTTGTTTATTCATTTTTTAATTCCTTCTAATTTTCCCAACCATACGAACCCATTGCCCACTCCACTTTCTTGTCACATTTAACTTTTACCGCACAAGCATATTCACATTTCATTTTCACACCCCACTTTTGTTTTCTTCTTCAATTTTCATATAAAGAAATAGAGGTGTACTACACACTATGAATTTGTCATTTAAAATAATTAGATCTGAGAAATGATTTATATTTATATTTTTGTTTTTTCCTTCTCTTATCTCACTGACAGCACTTTAAATTATAAGTATTTTGCAATGGGTATTTTTAAGTACACAATAAACTGTGACAAAGTAAAATAGTATAGATAATTGCTTTTAGTTGGACTATCCTGGGTAGTTGCTTATTGGAGCTAGTTCTTAATATATGTATATATACATGTATCATAGCTGACTCTGAAATTCTGAATCTTGCAAAGGGGTGTAAGTTTCAAGCAGTTGTTTATTAAGCCAATGGTGTCAATTGTGAAAAATTTCTGGGTATCACCTTATTTTGCATTAAATTCAGAGAACAAGTACCGGTTTCGAGCTCGAGTTGAGAGTTCAGGTAGTCAGGATTCAGTGGTGTTGTCTGCAGATTCTGTTAGAGTTAATGGGTTTTCTTCTGTTGGGGAGAAAGAGAGACTTGGGTCTTTGATTGGTAATCACTATTTGGAATGGCCGGTTGGGTACAATAATTGGTGAGAATAAGAAGGGGGAAGAGGATGTTTCAGAAAAATTGGAGGCCTTGTGGGATGATGGGTATGGTAGTAAGACTGTCAAGGATTACCTTGATAATGCCAAGGAAATTATTAAGCCTGATGGAGGGCCTCCCCGGTGGTTCTGCCCTGTGGAGTGTGGGTGTCCTTTGAAAGATTCGCCTGTTCTTCTGTTTTTGCCCGGTAATCACTGTTTGAGCACTGGGTTTGAACTCCAATAGTAGAATAGTAGTCCAGATTTGCTGAATTTATAATGACATAGGTCAATGATTAGATTTTGGTATATAAATTTCTTGGCTTTTAAGAAGTCAATTTATTCCTTGCTATTTGATTTCTGTTTTCTTTAAGAAGATTTTATGGATATGTTTCTTGTTTCTTATGTGGTATTTATTCATGCAGGAATGGATGGTCTTGGATTGGGCCTTATTTTGCACCACAAAGCTCTTGGGAAGTGAGTTTAAGCAGTACAGTAGAATTTATCTTACTTATGTGGATGGGGTTTTCCTTGTCTTTATTTTTAATTTTGATATGATATGTGCTAATTCTTTTGCTTATGAATCAGTAGTTGAGTCAAGAGTTTGGATAAGAAATGTTTTACGTTCCGTTGGTCTGGGAGTTTGTATGAGTATCCTCAACATAGTGAACTTGAATATTGTTGTTGTTTCTTTTAGATGATATCAAAATGCTCTTTTCAATTCTGTACCTATACTCTGCTATCCAAGTCTTTTTAGGGCATGTTTGATTGACATGATTAGAGTATGAGATTTAATTATTAATCCGTGGGCCCAATAACAAATTTGTAAGATTATTAGTAATGGAGTAGGAGTGAGATTATATATCTTGGGAGCTTCTATTTGCACACACTCATTCCCCTCTTTACACATCTTTTTCAATAAATAATTGGTTCGGAAGTAGAGTTCCGAAAATAAACAATTAGTTCGGAAGTAGCATTCCGAAAATAAACAACTTATTCGGAAGTAGAGTTCCGAATTTTTTTCATTTGTTCGACATTCAACTTCCGAATGTGTTTATTTAATGTCCATAATAGTAATTTCACTTGAAAATAAAATTATAATAAAAATAATTTTTATTAAGTGTGTGTAAAGAGGGGAATGAGGATGTGCAAATAGAAACTCCCATATATCTTGAGGGAAATAAAATAAAAAGACTATTTTACCCTTGACTAAAAATTAAAACACTTATTATTTTTATATACTTTTATATTTTAGAAGGTTAAAAATAATTTTTAAAAATTTAAAAATATTTTTTTGATATTTATTTTATCAAATTAGTTTATATTTAAAAAAAAAAAAACCAAACATGGCCTTTCTATTTTGTATTTTTATTTTGCTTTTATTTATAATTTTTTTCAAAACCACATTTATGAAATTTTTTTGATAAAGTAAAGATTATGAAGAAACATTGATGGAGGGTGAGATTGGAAAAGAAGATAAATATAGTTGTAGTCCTACATTCATATGTTTTCTTATCCAATGCAAATCAAATAATGGATAAGGGGATAATTTGTCCTACAAATCTAATTGGATAGTGAATACCACACTAATATCATGGGATTATTAATACGTGCACTATTAGTCTTCTGAATTAAACATGGCCTTACAATACTAATAGTGTTTGGTTTTTTTTTCCGTTGTGCTAATTTCATTGCTTATTCTTGTTAGTGACATAATTTTGAGATAGTGTGTTTGGTTTCAGTTTTCTGAATTTAGTTTTCTAAAAATTGAGTTTTTTATTTTTCGTGTTTTTTATTTTATTTTATTTTTAGTGAATATTTTTAAAATTTTAAGTAATTTTTTTATTTTTTTAGATACACATTTAGATATATCTAAATAGTAAAATATTTGTGAAAAAATATTTTTAAAAATTAATAAATACACAAAAATATGAAAAATGTACTCTTTTTTTTGTTGTTGGTATATTTGTATTTTTGATATTTAGTGATTTTTTTAAACATTTTTTTTCACAAATATTATACTTTTTAAGTGTATTTATGTTAGATGTGTCTAAAAATTTTAAAAAACAATTTGCTTAAAATATTAAAAAAATTCAGTGAAAACAAAAAAAAATATAGAAAACGAAAAAGTAGAATTTTCTGAAAAATGAATATTGAAAACTGAAACCAAACAGAGTGATAAAACTAATTAAAAGCTCCAAATATGTGTACATATGTGTATGTGTATGTGTATGAAGTAAGTATATATGTGTATAAATACATGTATGAATGAAATGCCTATGTATCATTTATGATATATGTAAAGCAAGTATTGGTTAGGGCTTGATTTATGCTTGTATTGCAATAGAAGTTCTTAATTTATTCTGTTTCATTTTTCTTGGGTCCATTGTGATAGAATCTGCATATATGCTGCTCCAAGAAATTTCCTGTCTTACAATTGCATTGTTCTGTTTGAGTAATACTATGATGATGGAAATTCATGTATAGTTTGGTACTTTTTGATTATTTGTAACCCTAATTCTAATATAGGATTGCTTTGAATACAGAGCTTTTGAAGTTCAGTGCCTGCATATTCCTGTTTATGACCGAACACCATTTGAAGGTCTTAAACTTCTGTAACTTTAAATATCTTTATAAGTATTTCTTTGTGCTGCACTGCTGCTTATGATAGTTCATTTGTGCTGCTGATATATCTAAATAATGTTGCAAGTTAATTTCGTTCTTTTATTATTCTTATTATTACTATTATTATTATTTTCTTGTATAGCAAGTTTATTTATATATGTTGTATGCCTTTGTCCACAATTTTTTCAGATCCTCTTCAAATTAATTAAAATTTACATTTTATTGCGTGTAGACTTGGTGAAATTTGTGGAAGAAACTGTGAGGCTCGAACATGCTTCATTTCCAAATAAGCCAATTTATCTGGTGGGCGATTCCTTTGGGGGATGCCTAGCACTTGCTATCGCAGCTCGTAATCCAACCATTGACCTGGTAGTAATATTAGCCAATCCAGGTCAGCTTTCAGATAGAGAATTTAAGCATTTCATTGTGATTTTTAGAGGACATTTATGGTTGCCCTTCTGGTTGGCCAAATTACTGCTAGTAACTAATGTACTCAATTATTTGTTTTAGCGAGTTCATTTGGCAGATCACAGCTGCTACCTTTGTTCCCACTCCTGGAGGCTATGCCCAATGAACTTCATATCACAGTGCCTTACCTTCTTAGCTTTGTTATGGGTATATGCTCTGTTGTTTTAAAATTTTTATTGGTATTCCCAATATTTGTGACTTGAATTTGAAGAAATTCAAATTTGTCTGCTGCTTGCAATTGTGGCATCCTTGTTAAATTGCCTATTTGGATTTGATAAAACAATCTAGCTCTGTGATTATATGTGCCTAAACTGTCAACTTGACTGATTTCTTTCACATCATCTATTCATAATAGTCTTGCACTTTGCTCATCAACATGACCTTTAATGGTTCATTGAATAAATTTTAAAGCCTGAGCTTCATTCAGATATGTGGTTATATGTGTAAATCAGTAACCAATTATACCTATGAGAACATTAATGATTTGTTCCAGTCATGAAAAAACAAGCAGTTGGCCTCAAGGAGAACAACTCTGGCCAAATTTGACTGCAAGTTTTAGAAGGATGGGCTCAATGCGAAGCTGCCAAACCAAACCCAAGCTGTTTGAAAATGTCTGGGAAGCGAACATTAAACCAAACTCTAAATTACCTTGTAAATTAGTGTTACTAGTACAACATAATTATATTTGTATAACTGACTCAATTATAGTTAATAAACACATAATACACAGGATCTGTTAGTTATTTGCACTACAATTTATAATTTTTTTATTTTTTATTTAACTTCGCTAACCAAAGACTTAGATTTTCACTCAGATTGCAAAAGGTAGTATTTTGGTAATTTTTAGCTTTGCTAAAAAAGGGCTAGGGGTTGGCCATGGGTCAAGTTTTGTTATCGAGTCATTACATGTGATTTTAGTTAGGTTTAGAATATTCTAGTTGTTGAAACTTTGTTAATTTTTTTTTTCTTTTTATATTTTGAGTCATAGTCCTAGTAGAATTCGGAGAGCCCAGCAGCCTATAAATAATTATGTAACCCTCCTATTTAATGGAAGAGTTGTTTTATGAATTTGTATGAAACTTTTTCATTTTGGATTTTGTGAATTTGTATGAACTGTCCCTAACATTTTACCCAACATTAACTATTGTTAGTTAGTGCAACCTTCAGCAGTTCTTATTTATTCTTACTGAGGTATAGCTTTACTTATATTGCATCAGGTGATCCGATGAAGATGGCAATGGTGAGCATCGAAAATACACTTCCTCCTCCTGCAATCCTTGAACAACTATCTGGCAATCTTACTGCTTTGCTTCCTCGCCTTTCTGTAAGAATCACTTGTGCTGAATTACATTTTTCCTTGAATACTGATTCCCTGTTGCATGAAATCTTTTTTCAATGCAAGTTGTTTCATTTTCTGTTTTAGTTATTTCTCATTAGGTCAATGTACGTTTGTCAGTGAAATTTCTTGAATGTTTTACTCAAGTATGGTACCAAAGATTTTGTATATCAGGCGCTAGTTAGCATTCTGATTAACTTGTTATATGTTTCTTCTGAAATCTTCAATTTGTTACTAGTACTAATTCAGTATTTTTACTGTACCGCATCTTCTTATTTCAGTTTCCCACCCATTTTCAATAATGTATCATTTATTTATACAAAATATTGTGATATGAGTAGTGGCAAGGTATGACTGAAATGTGATGCAAAGGAATGTGCACAAGGTTTTGGAAGTAAATAGAGTGAATGCAATGCAATGCAATGTAATGCTGCAGGAACTGATAATCTCCATAGATATCTGTATTCATTGCTCTACTTTTATTCGCCAGTCAACACATTATTATGTCGGTCAGCATGTCCAATGATGTGAATGACCATGGTCCTCAATGATTTGAGATTAAAGTTAGGGGTAGTTCTGGAAATTCAATCAAGTAGTTGTACCCTTTGTGTTTTTTTTTTGCATGATTAATGCAGTATTTTGATATCTTACATCTGTTCAAGTAATTCAAATGTTGTTTAAGAAGGCTTTGTATCTTCAGTGATTAATAACAATTTTTGGTTCATTACATTAGTTATTAGTTTATAAGCATGACTAGATATCTATTTTGGGTATGTCTTTAAGATCAATCAACTGTTAAGAAAGATTCAACAATAATTTTTGGTGGCATTTGTCATAAAATGGATATGTAATTGAAAGTGATCTAATAGTTTGAATATATCTTTGTGATATCAAAGTGATATCTTGGCTATCTACAAGGTTCAGCAAGGGACAAGGGGAACATATATTTGTAGCAAAATATGTTGTGATGTCACTCTGCAATATGGAAGTGATATATTAACATCAAAGATCAGATAAATTTGGTGCAAAATTTTATGTATATTGGGTAGAATATGATGTTGATGGTACTCTTAAAAATTGAGAGAGTTGTTTATCATCGTTATCATCGTGACGCAGATCGAAAAGAGTTGGGGAAAGTAAAGTAGTTGTCCCCTCATTAAGACTGGCATCATGAAGTAGGTAAGTTTTGTAATCTTTGTTTCTAGTAGTGTCTGCCAGAACCAACCCTCGTAAAGGCATGGCTTTCTCTCTCCCTCTCTCTTCCAACCTCTCATCCTCCTCCATTCACCTTCCCCTTGTACCTGCAAAGCTAGCTTAGCGGCTTTATTCTTTTGTTGGAATTTGTATATTTAATATAGTTATCATATCAATTTTGATTGATATTATTGATACACTTGGTATTGTGCATTTTTCATACTCTATACACCGCATATTCTTTACATTTTCACTTTACTTGCAATATCCTGGAACCTCCATGTGTGCATTTTTATTTGTAATCTCTTGAAACAATACTGCTTAGTAAATGCAACCTGGCACCTACTGATGTAATAAAACTGTGCTGCTCTTTCTCGTTAAAATAGTTATTCTGTGCCACAGAAAAATTCTCTTGGAAACAAGTGTTGTTTGTGGAGGCAGTCTATCTTGCCTTCTTGCTTTGTTATTTTGCTGGGGAATGAATCCTACCATTATTGGTGAAAGGGCCCTGATGGATATAGTAGAACTTTTGAAGTGAATGTTCTTAGAACTAGATTAGTTAAGTTGAGCTGGCCCAAAAGCCTGAACCTGATGATGGTGAACAAATACGTTGCCATATTGACCAACTTTTTTACCAATGCTCATACTTGTGGCTGCTATTCTCACTTTAAATTTCTTCATTTTCTTGCCAGGGCTTGGCTGATATTATTCCAAAGGACACTCTTCTTTGGAAGTTGAAGCTGCTTAAATCAGCTGCTTCTTATGCTAATTCCCGTCTCCATACCATTACAGCTGAAGTGCTCGTGCTTGCTAGGTTACTTTTTTTTCTGTAGCCTTTTTGTGGATCTTTCTGATATTTCTTATGAATGAATATATGTTAGGCGAGATTAAATTAACTGCAGGAGCTTAAAAATTCTAAATTTAGACTGTTATATTTTAATGAAATAGCAGTTGACCCGTGCAATGCACGCGTTATTTTTTTTTTTTCAAAAAATATTTGATGATACAATGTATGTTATAAAAGAATAATTTTAATTTAAAATTAAAATTAAAGTATGATTTTAATTATTTATTTTGATAATATTGGTGCTATCATTTTATAAAATTGTTACTTTAATACTTATATATATATATATATTAATTTTAGTTAAATTATTTGTGTAATTTGATAATTTTAGTTTTATCATATTATAAAAGTGTAATTATCATATAATAATTTTGTATGATATATATTAAATTATAAAATAATAAAATAAATACTCATTTTGATATTAAAAATAATAGTTAAATTAGAAAAAGAATTAGTAACATAAAATTAAAAGTAATGCTAACTATTTAATATTCTTTTATGTTCATTTGGAAAATAAAAATATGCAAAAATAGAAATTATATAAAATTTATTTAAAAAATTAAATATAATATGTTGTAGTTGGATTATCATATAATGATTTTATATGATATATATATATATATATATGTTAAAACCTACTCCACTACACCTACTCCACCTACTCCACTTCACCTACTCCACTACACAACTCCACCTACTTCACTACACCTACTCTCCACCCACATCTCCTATATAAAGGAGACCAACTATGTACAAATCAATCAATCATAATACATACAATTTATTCTCTCTCTATTAATATATCTTACATGGTATCAGAGCAAGGTTAAGAAGTTAGTAATTCTGAATATGTGGATAAGAAATATTTGTCAAATTGAGTCCATATAAAATAGGTAAAGTTAGCATAATTTAAATTAGGTTTGGATTTGTGTTGAACTTTATATGTAATTAAGAAAATACATGTTGACGTGGCTCTTTAAGAAAAAAGGAAACGCTTATAATGTGTCACCTAAACATGAGAAAAACACTACTTCTAATAATATATATATGTATATATATATGACGTCTATATTCTTTGTAGCGGTACATAACTAATCATTTGTATTCTTAGATTCTAATGAACTTATGTTGTCTGAGCCACAAATATATAACACTTGAGGTACTCATAGTCCTTAAAATTTGATGGTGATGTTGTGTTTTATCTTCATAATTACCCTGCTGCACACTTTCCGTTGCTCTAGACATTTTCACATTTTTGGGGGTATTTTTAACACTTTTCATTACACCCTGTTCTAGATTGAAAACTACTGCATTAATGGATTAAATTAGGGCCTGTTGATGCTTATACTTCAAATAATGTAAATACTCTTCAGTCTTCACTAATTGGTTGCAGAAAATGTAGAATAATCTCTCTACAATTATCTCAATGACTGAGTTTCCTATGCCTTGTTGAGAAGTTGTTCATCGCATCCATATTTGGTTCTTGGCACTTGGTTGCATGCATCAGTCTATTGCAAAATGGAAGTGCAATTTTTATTTTCTAAAATTATTGTGCCCTGCATGATCAACATAAAATACAGATTGTCTATGCAATAATAATTTTAAATGGCATACATATGTTGTTTGCAAGTCAACATACTTTTTCCTGTGTAACACGATGTAGTATTTAATACTTTGAGGCGTTGTTTGATCAATAGGATTAATAGTGAAATGATTAATAATCCCATGAATTAGTGTAGGATTAGTTATCCAATTAAATTAGTGAGATAATCATTTATTATGTATTCATAATTTCTTTCATACTTGAAATTATGCTTCCCAATCCCTCTCAATATTAAAAATTCACCAATTTTGTCGGATTGAATTTTTGCCATACATGTAATCTGGTTAATAAAATTTGCTATCAAACATAGGATTGTGAGTCCATTGACTAACAATCCTAGTCCAGTGCTATAATCCTACTAATCAAATATGCCTGAGTTGTAATTATGGTCATGTATCTTTTGGAAATTTTTTCTGCTTCATATATCCTGAAATTATAGTATTTTCTTTTTCCATTTTCCCAGTGTATGTTTTATACGTGGTAAATATTTTACCGGTACATTGTTATATCTTGATGCAATATTGCGATTGATGGTGGGTTTGCATTTCAGTGGCAAGGATAACATGCTTCCTAGTGGGGATGAAGCTAAAAGGCTCTCGAGGTCATTACGAAATTGTAAAATTCGTTATTTTAAGGACAATGGACACACTATTCTATTGGTAAGTGAGGATTTTAGCCCCTTTTGTTTCTCCCCTTGTTTTTGATGTTGAGACAGCTGTGCTTTTTAGAAGCTTCTTGTGGCATCAATTCGCTGGAATTGAGCATAAAAAATTTCGTCCAGATCCAGTGTGTTGTACTGTTTGCATGGAAACATAAATGCGTTCGAAATTGTTTGGAAAATTGACGGAAATGACAAAGAATTTGGAAATCTGTAGAAATCATTGAGTTACATAGTTGTTTTAACACTACGATCTCTTTAGGCAGTTCTGTGAAAGAAGTTCTCCTATAATTCTGTTGAATCCGAAGATTATTAGAATAATAGGAAAGAGGTAGAGAAAACTCAAAAAAGAATTATGTATTATTCATCAACTGAAAAGCTCTAAGGCTTACAACCATTATTTATAATGAAAGGGAACCCTAAATTGGGAAATAACCTATTAAGGCAATTCTTTGATTGACACGGCAAAATAAAGAAAATAAGAAAATTTCCAAAAAATGTAAATTTTAGTTAAGCTCAAATGTGGATACTAGAAAGGAAAAGAAACATTCTTGGAAAACCCTAGACCAAATCAGATTTTGTATAATTGACAATAGAAAACTTTACAAAAATAGCAAAAACGTGAAATTGAGCCCTAAATGATGGAATTCACACAAAATCCAATGGGGTCCATAGCGAAGTGATGGATCTTGATCTCTACCACATTTCCCATCACACCACCAAGTTTCACGTAATTCTGAGCAAGTGCTATTTTACTAGTGTCGCTTGCCTTGCTTTCTCACATGCCTATCCATATGTTCCAGGATTGCATGGCCAAGTAGTCTGCATACTGTTTGTGCTATGCTATTTGTTCCTGCATAGTGGATCAAGAACTTACGTTCGAGAGTATTACGTTACTAAAGTTCCTTTGACTGCAACCTTTCCTAGACTTTTTTTTATCTCTCTAGATTTGAAAATATCCTATTGCTTCTCTTTGGGTTCACAATTGTGGTGGCCAGTTTTGAAATTTTAATTTATCTTGTGTTCATGCAAAAACTTCGGATGATCATGTTAGCGATAAACTTCTGAACAATTGGCTTGACGGAAACATTTCGAGTTGCATTACAATGTCTTTTCCTAAAGACAGTATTTGTCTCTATCAGATGGTGTGCACCAGGTTAAAACCAAATCCCCTTTTAGGATACAATGAAGCTCGACATCAAGATATTTTGTCTGCATTTGCACAAATGAATACAGATTAGAATACCTTCGTTAAAACGAAAGAAAGAAAACTGGTGTATGATATATTGTTTATACAGCATAACAGAATATCAGAAAGTTAATAAAGCTCTTGATCAAAATACTTTTGAATTATGGGGATCCAAATGGCTGGATTCTAGGCCTTTTTATAGACCTGTATGCACCTGATTGGATGGGTTGTGACCCTTGATCACACCTAATCAGGCTCGGATTCAAATCCGACCGCTGGATCAGACTTTTTGCGGTGCAGATCTTATCTCACACCAAACGGTTGTAACAATTGGACTCACCTGATGACAATGATCGCGTGTCATCTGATCCATCTGATGTGTGCTTACTCGATTAATCTCAAAGATGCTGAATGCTTATAATTTCTCTTTTTACTAGGTATTATAAAATATATATTTGAATTTCTCCGAGTTAGTGGTGTAGGACGAGTGTGGACAACAGTTTCCAACTAGTAGTGAGCCCAAAACTAACGTGAAGCTGCAGTTGAGGCTCTAGTTTAGGGCTTGGATTGATAGTTTAGTTGGCAAAAGGCTGCAAAAATATGCAGGGTTTTGGGGTTTATAGGGGTAGAAAAAGGTTTGAAAATTAAAAGAGAGTGTTTTCTGTTTAGGGGTTAATTGTGAGGGCTTTGAACATTCCCGGTTACAGTAAGTTTGCAGATTTTTGAGGTCTATATGCTATGGTTTTAGGTTAAAGGAAGAATAAAATGGGCTTGCAAATAGTGATTGAAAGCAGTGAAACCAAAATTGGACAAATCTGGCTGAAGATCAAACAAAACTTAAATTTGTAAGAGAAAAGAAGAAAGAAAATAGATATAGCAGTCACTCCTAGAACTAGGCATTACATCTACTTTTTCATAGGTATTAATCGTATCACACCATTCATAAGAAAGCTTCAAAATCTCTGCAACTTCTTTAAAAAGTTATTCTGTTGAATTATAAGCATTATGTGGTTTTTTTATAGACATTAGAGAAGTCCTACTTCTAATAAAATTTGACTACCTTTTTAACAAGACTTTTGACTTCTAAAAGTTATCTAAACCAAAATAATACCTATAAATAAGGATCGAATTGCATAACTTGAACCATGTGTCGACCCTTTACATCTCATGTCCAGAAAATTGTGAAATTACCAAAATACACCTAACCAATAAAACATTAGAAGACATAAAAAAGAAACCAGATTTGAACTCAACCCAATCAATCCTAAAATAGGACTCATCTAAGGTTAAAAACTTGTCCATACCTGATTCCACTTGGTTCCAAATGAGTTTGGCAGAAGTGATGTAATTGGCAATGTGTTTTTTCCTTTCTGGTATGGGGTTATGACATTAAGGTGGAAATCATGCTCGTAGGCTATGAAGCACAGACACCTCTCTGGCGGTCACATACAGGTGTCCGACACGGACACATGCCGGACACACTCCAGACACGTGTCGAACACGTGGGACACACTAGGGACATGTTGAGGACATGCTAGGGACATGTTGGGGACACTCTGAGGACATGTTAAGCACACGTTAAGGACATGCTGAAGACTATTTTTTTCGTTTTTTTAAATTAACATTTTTTATTTTTTTACTAAAATAGCATATCTAGGCGGTGTTTGGGAAGTAGGTTGAGGAGGCTATTTTAGCCTCACAGGTGAAATAGTAGAAAATCATATACAAAGAAAAAAAGACCATGTGCCTTGACAGCACTGCTAGCTCAAGTTCAAATGTCCAAATTGCCCCTTGTGAACATTGAGATTCACACCAATGGATGGAACCCAAATACATTTCCCAAGTCACAGGGCAATGCCACGTCATTCAACAAGGACATACTCTTCTTAGGGGCATTTTTGTCATTTCATTGTTTAACATCATTTCAAACACATTTCCTAATACAACAATCCAACAAAAATTCAACCCATCTTCCTAAACACAAAAACTAAAATAGCTTTATTAAAATAGCCAAATAGCCAAAAAGCCTAAAAAGTAGCCACTTCCCAAACGAGGCCCTAAGGTTGATAAATTTAATAAAATTAAATATTTGACATAAAATACATATTAAATATTTAAAAATATGACATATAATAAATATATAAAATTATATGTTTTGCACGTGTCCACAACATGTCGTGTCCTGCATCTTTTGAAAATTTTCATGTCCGCGTGACCATGTTGCGTCACGTGTGCGTGTCTGTACTTCTTAGCTCATAGGTCTTAGAGTAGCTGAAGATAGAGGCAGTGGTAGCAACTAAATTTTATGTGGCTGATGATGCTCAGATTATTGTTATCTTTGTTAAAAATAGATCTCAAGGCACATCAGACTCTGAGAATACTCACATATGCTCCATAAGATTTAGATATTGCTCAGCGTTATTGCTTTTCTTGGGTTCATAGGTTAACTAGCATTAGGGGGATTCCGTAGCAAAGAAGCACACAGTTTTGGGGAGCTTGGGAATTATTTTTATTGTCCCCTAGTTTTCCATTGTGTTCTCTATATGTTTTTTATTTGTTATTTTTTTTAATCAGTTATAATTGACTCGATGACCTTGTTATATATTTTTTTCTCTAAATAAATTTCTGCTTCATATCAGACAAGAAAATAAAAACTTGTTGCGCATCAAGCAATGCTTTTGGGAAACTTGTTGCGCTGTAACAAATGTTTCTCCGTGCAACATACCTTATACTTTGAGTGACTTGATTATGGATGCAGTGTAGCTCGACTGATTGCAATTTTATTGATGCAGGAAGATGGCGTTAATCTGTTAACTGTTATTAAAGGTACTTGCAAATATCGTCGTTCCAGGAGACATGATTTTGTCGCTGATTTTTTGCCTCCTAGTATGTCAGAATTCAAACAGACATTTGCAAACTATGGGTAATTCAGCAAGTTAATCTACGGTGTTTTGTTGTTTTCCAAAAGTATACTGCTACTATGCTAGGGGTACAACTTTTTCGAATTAATCTAATCTATGATTGAACTTATAGAACTTTAAGAATGCACTTTTCATGAGGATTCTGGTGACACTGAACTTGCTAGCTATGGCTTTTTGAAACTATATCAGGTTTTCACATTTTATTTTCACTTTCATTAGCTGATAATTTTCTGAAGGGAAAAGTGAATGATTGGCATTAACAAAATTGGTGCTGATCTGATAATGTTAGTAAAATTTAATATCAGAAACAAAAATAAGCATGAGAAAAAAGAAACAAAGAAAGAAAGAAAATGAACAAGATAAAGATGAAGATGATGGGTTTGTAAATTGAAAAGATGAACCTGTGAGTACCATCCTTCTTTCATTTTGAAGTACCATTTATTTGCATAGCTTCACATCTATCACATCAGAAAGAAGAACATCAACTGAGAAGAGAACTTTAAGATTTGAACTTACCTAGTGTGGCAGCAAAGGACAGGCTCCATCTGTACTATTAAAAAAATGAAGAGGTTTTACCTTTAGACTCTATTTGTTTGACCTGAGAAATGAAGAAAAATGAATTCTGGGAAAATATTAGAATTTTTCATTGTTTGTGTTGTTTCAAATTCTTAAAAAAATGGAAAATCAAAATTTGTAGTTTGGAGGAAAAAAGTGGAAAACACAACGTAAGGATTTGAGAATTCAGTGATTGTATTCATCTCAATAGAGCTATATATAGCCGTTACAATGAGTATAAAAATGACATTTACAGAAATTAGGTGTAATTCCTAATCAAACATAATCCTAAATCTAGGCCTAAATATATGTAATAGAATATTTGCAAATATTCAAATAAGGAAGGAATCAATGGACAATTAAGGGGGCTTCCTAACACTCCCCCACAAACTCGACGACCTACAAAGGATGGTTTGGAATGTAGAAGCTCATAGCAATGTCTATGAAACCCTTAGTGAAGAGATCAATGATCTGATCGACAGAGGGAACAAACTAAACGCGATGGCTACTAGATTATACTAGTTTATGAATGAAGTGATAATCAATCTCAATATATTTGGTGCGTGCATGGAAAACAAGATTGGCAGCCATGCATGTGGTGCTAAGGTTATCACAGTAGACCGTGAAAGGTGTGGAAAAAGGCAAGTGTAACCCGCAAAGAAGGTGCTTAATGCAAATCATCTCAGCACATACACAAGCTAGAGACTGGTACTCTGACTCAGCGCTTGAACAAGAAGCAGTAGGCTATTTCTTGGCACTCTAAGAGATTAGGTTTGGACCTCGGAAGATACAGTAGCCAGAAATGGATTACTGAGTATCAGGACATCCAACCCAGTCAACATTAGAGTAGGCATGAAGAGCTAAAGTACTAGAGGAAGGGCATAAAAGCAACCTAAGACCTAAAATGCCTTTGAGATGGCGCAAAATGCGCTTAATAGCAACAAGTTGAGCGGTTTGAGGGGTACTCATGAACTAAGCAACATGGTGGACTGCAAAGGTAATGTCTGGATGAGTCAAGGTCATGTATTGTATAGAACCAACCAACGCATCGGAAATGGGATCCTCTTCTAGTGCAGAGAGTTGGCTTTTTGCACTCAAGGGAGTACTGGACAATTTGCACTCCATCATAGAAATGCAACGCAAAAGATCAACAGTATACTGAGATTTTGGGATAGATGTAGGCCAGAACCTAGTGAGGACACCTCAAGACCTAGGAAGTAATGGAGGGGGGCAAGGTCTTTTCTCTCAAACTAGGTGCCAAGAATAGAAATAAATGAGAGTAGAGACGACTCATTTCCGGTGAGCACAATGTTATCCACATACAACAAGAGAAGCATAACTTGAGATGAGCATCGATGTACAAAAATAGAGTGGTCAACTCGACTAAGTGAAGCCCTATTCGATAATAAAGGAGTTGAACTGTTGAAACCAGGTGTGAGGTGCTTGTATGAGACTGTAGATAGCCTTGCGAAGTTAGTAGACATGATTAGGACTTTGGGGGTCGACAAACCATGCAGGTTGAGTCATAAAAACAATCTCTTGAAGAAATCCATGCAAAAATGTGTTCTTGACATCCAATTGTCGTAGAGACCAACCAAAAGAGACGACCAAAGCCAAGCTAATAATAGTACGAATAGTGATAGGCTTAACCATGGGGCTGAATGTTTCATCATAATCAAGGCCATGTTGCTGATGAAAACCTTTAGCCACTAAGGGAGTCTTGTAGCAGTCAATAGAACCATTTGCTAAACGCTTAACCTAAAATACCCCCTTGCAACCATCTATGTTCTGATACGGGGAGGACGAACCAAGGTTCTAGTTTGATTTTTAAGTAAAGCATTAAATTCATCTGTTATAGCAGCCTGCTAGTCCGGATATTGAACACTTGAGAAAAACAAGTAGGGTCCTCACTAGAAGACGATATTTGAGACCCTCAACACACAAAAAGCTGCTGGAAAAAAAAAAAAAAAAAAAAAAAAAACAAGAATAGGTAGAGGTGGAAGGTTGGGCCGTGAGACCCTCTGATACCATGTAAGGATATGAAAATTCAGTGATTTTATTCAACTCAATAGAGGTATATATAGTTGTTACAATGAATATAAAAAAAGGCATTTACAGAAATTAGGTGTAATCATAATCAAACATAATCCTAAATCTAGGCCTAAATATATGTAACAAAATATTTGCAAATATTTGCAAATGTAGAAATAAGGAAAGGAGCTGCCTAACACACAGCCTAGACTTTATTAACGTGAGGGTGCCCTCACACTTATATACTTAATATTAATTTAATACTCAGGTGATGTGGGGCTTCACTTCACACCCTCCCTCACGCCTAGTGTGCTCACTCGGCAACACCTGCGGCATGCAGGCCATGGACACGCACCCTATCCATTCTTGAGTACTCCGACTCTAATACCATGTTACACAGTCTTGGATAGAATTCATCCCAAAAGTTAGCTATTAAGGTGGGGGTGCCCTCACACTTATATACTTAATATTACCTTAGTATTCAAGGGATGTGGGACTTTACTTCACAATTATCAGGGTCATGAAGGATCCCCCAATTATTTCTCTTCAACAGTTATACCATCATGACTTTCCCACCTCTTCAGGTACTACTACTAGTTTCCCCTATCTCTATCTTAGCTTGTTCTGCCTTATAGTAATACCGATCTACCATCTTCAGTAGTTATCTAAAGTTCATCCGTTTTCTTTATCTGACCCATACTCTCTTTAGTCAACAATTCATCTTACTCTCTCTGAACTTTAAATGTAATTTAAATTCAAATTATCTTTACGCAACATGCTTGCATTATTTTTCATTTTTTTATGTGCTTTCTCACTATCTCTTCATGTGATATATAAATCTATCTTTTGTCACTTGCCGTACATTATAATTGTTGTGGTATTTGTCAGATTATTTCTTCTACTATGGAGTGTTTTCTCTCCCTACCTGTCTCGCTTTCTATATGTTAAAAAGAATATCTCCAAAATATTGTGCCTCTTATTGTAATAGCTTCTTTGTATCAATCTCAATACAATATTTATTTTTCATTTTGTCATTACAGTTAGAATATTTGGATACATAATTTTGTACTTCGGAATCCGTCAAAACAACCAACAGCATAAAACAGTATAATCCATAACCATTTTCTAGTGCTTTCTAAAGAAATTGGAAAAAATTTTGGAATTGCAAATGCTCATCCAGCCTAGCATTGTGGCGTGGGTTTGAGTCACATGAATCAACCTCTCTTGAAAAAAACAAAAAGTGTCGTGAAGACCTGCCTACCTACTACCTCTCCCAAATCCTAGTGTAAACGGGAGCTTTGTGCATTTGGTACAATCTTTTGAACAGAACCTAAAGGGAAGGTTGAGAAAGAGTGGAAAATGAAGAATGGTGGAGGAGTTTGGATCATTTTATTCCTGAAAGGTCCAAAGTGAGATAATACATTAATATTGTTCGTTTTTAAGTTTTCTGGAATTTTATACTGTTAATACCATATATAATTCTTGCTTTTTTTAATTGCATTTAATTATCACTGTTCAACACTATTCTAACACGGCAGTAATAGAACCACCTTTAAACTGATGTAATTTAATAAACCCAGATGTATAAGGGTTAATTGTTGTGGCCCTTAGGTATTAAGCCACAGATTTTGCATCCTGGCTGAAAACAGCCTGCTCGAGTTGTTCCCAATTGAATAATTTCATTTATTTTGCGGAAAACTGATATTACAACACAATGAAATGCAGATTGCTTCGCACTGTTACCAGTCCAGCAATGTTCTCAACTTTGGAAGATGGAAAGATAGTGAGAGGTCTATCGGGGGTTCCAAATGAAGGTCCTGTCTTATTAGTTGGTTATCACATGTTGTTGGGGTTTGAACTTGGTCCTCTTGTTGAAGAATTCTTGATGGAGAAGAATGTTATGATTCGTGGTATGACACACCCAGCATTGTTTACACACAGGGCTGAAAGTCAATCTCATGAATTTACCTACCTTGATTTGCTAAAAGTATTTGGCGCATTACCTGTCACACCAAGCAACCTTTTCAAATTATTTTCAGCGAAATCACATGTACTTCTTTATCCTGGTGGTGCCCGTGAAGCTCTCCACCGTAAGGTGTGTCTCTTTGATTCAATTTCACTACTATTTTGTAATCATATATGTTACCATCTCTTACCTTGCATTTTCACTGCATAATCATTCTTTTGCTTTCTCTCCCCCCCTCTCTGGCCTTAAATTTTTTGGCATCCTTGTTTACCTTTTTGTTGCTAGATGATTTAAAATATTATAGACAAAGGAGTACAATATTTGCTTTATTTTTTCTTTTTCTTTTTCTTTTATGCTTCACTTCCTATAAGTAAATCTGTGAATTTTAATTAATTTTTGCAAATGAAGCATTTTCTAGCTTACAAACAATGAGATTTGTGAAGTCAGTTGATATTCAAAGGAGCCCCCAACATCTTAGTTTTATGCTCTGTTATCGGAATCTTATGATTTATGATATGATTCACTATTCAATACATGATTCATTCCTAGATCGATACAAATCTATGGGTGAATCTATTTTGGATAGAATTGATGATGAATTGCACGATTCACAATTTCAATTCAAGATTCAATTCATGTTTTACGATTCATTCTACTCATAAAACTATTGTACCCCGTTTTTTTAAATTTTTGTTAGACATAATTGACGGAGCCTTTAACTTCAAATTCCACTAACAAAAAATAAAGACCAGGCAATTGTGTTGATGATTCAATGCTTGGAAGGATTCAAGGACTTCTTTGGAACAAACAGAGTAACACTGAAGGAAATAAGCAAAGGAAATTTTATTGATCAAACTTTCAAAGTTTACAAGGGGAAAAAACCGCAATTACAAACTAAGGTTTCTACTCCTAAGATTCCTAAGCTATGCTAATTTATTGTGAAGTTTTGTCAGGTCTTTCCCTTTGCATCTTTCTGTCCCTTTAATAGTCTTCAGGGCTGTCGATTAGCATCTGCTGGACACTCTCCCCCTTTGTTTCCACTCCCTAATCTTTTCTCAGAACATGGATGGACATGGCTGCTGCTTGTGCTGGGAATTTGCCACTTGTCACCCTGTTCTCGTTCTACTGTAACTGCTTGCAACTGCCTTCTCCACACATTCTATACTGACATCATGGTTGCAATCATGTCTATAAATCATTCACCTTGCACTGCCACAGGTCTTTTGCAACATGTCCCTTCCATCAAGTCCCACGTGTCATTTAAATCTTGCTTCCTTTAAGCCTGTTGACAGACTCTTTGTGTGAAAAATGGTTGCAAACAGATCCAACATATTCCAATCCTCTCTCTCTCTCTCTCTCTGAGTGAAAATGTCCAAATACAACTTCTGTTTGCGGTTAGTTTGAAAAAATCAATGGCTATGCATGATTTGTAGTTATTTTAGTGATCACATGGTTTTATAGATGCAATCAAATCCAGCCAAATTGGTCATTCTTGCAGCCAGATTCAATAATATCTCACCATTAAAAAATATGAAATCACACCAACGCAAGAATGAACATTAACCTGATATGGAACTTCAATTTGTGATTATTCTGCTTGTAAATTATGGATATCTGTTAATGATAACACAATGATTTATTAAGAGAGAGAATTGAGACAGAGAGGCCATCTGTTGCATGGCGGTTATGAGTCAGGCTTTTCATTTTTTGATGCTTGGAAATGAACACTAGTTTTATTAAGGAAAGCATTGGTTGTATTCATAAAAACTCTAATTCGTGACAGTGATGGAACTTTTATGTTTGTCAGGGTGAAACATACAAGTTGTTTTGGCCTGATCAACCTGAATTTGTGAGGATGGCAGCAAGGTTTGGGGCTACAATTGTACCATTTGCAACTGTTGGAGAGGATGACATTGCAGAAGTAAGGATATTCTTTTGTTTTTACCAGACTTCTTTAGTAGAATTGGTACTATAGTTTGATTTGACATGTGCATCCACGTAAAGGTTTCATCAGCTATTCTTTTTTTTCTTCTTCTTTAATATTGCTAGTCTAAGGGTCCTTGTTCATTACCATTGTTAATTTTCTCATTTATGAAAAAGAAATGACAGTGCCTCAATTTGCTTGTGATATTCAAGAAACACTGACATGTCTACTAGTAAGAGTTGTTTTGTTAATTTGAAAAATAAAATAAAATTGGATAACATTGAAAGAAATAAGTAAAATTGAATGATTTTATGATATTTACAATAAAGTAATGGAGATGCTTATGGTGACATTTGATTTTAAATAATTTGATATACTTTGTTGTGCTAATTTCTTAATATCTTCAGCTTTTGTTGTGGCTGGTTATTAACAATTTAATATGCTTGCAGAGCTCTAGTTCTAGGAAGTCTTAGGTTCAAGTTGTCATATCCGTTTGTTCGCCATTTGATTTTCTATGGTGCACCTTCTTTGTTCAACGGGGTGTGTTCATCAATTTGCCTTACCTTGTGTAGGACAGGGTAGTCAGTCATGTTAGATAGTTTGATATGTATTGTTTGGTCTATTTCCCAATAGCTTAAATTTTTGTTGCTAATAATTTAGTAGTGATGATGAAGAAGAAAATGGTGTCAATAATTGTCTTAATCATAGTAGCTAGCGATGGTTAAAAATGTGATTCTTAGACAGTGAAGTAGTGGCAACATTAGATGGTGTTGAATCCAACCTCTTCTCCGTAATCTGATAAGAGACCTTTATATGTAAGAGTTTATTACGTAGATGACTACTTAAGACATATGAGAAGATACTAAGGTGGTGTTTCAAAGTCCTCTCGGACTATAAAAGTCATTTTGAATAAATTTTTCCTGTTTGGTGAAGACAACAGAAAGTGATTCAGCCAAAGTCACGCGAGCCAAAGCCCATTTCAAAGAAGCTACCTAGGTTAGCTTTTAGAGTGCTTGCTGAATTGGCTTCTCGCAAAGTCAGCCGCCAACTTAAATGAATTTCTTAAATTTCCCATATTATCCTTCTTGAAACAAGTTGTCTATAATACCCTGTCATATCATAACATTTACAAATCATACCCTATAAAAGCATGAGGTGCAAGACTCTTAGAAGTGGATCTTCTGCAACACAATGCATATCTATGCCTATATGTATCTGCAACTTGGTGAGTAGTTTTTCTTTGTTCCATGTTTTTATCCTATCTCGTTTCAAACAATCTGAAAAGTGATGTTTGGGTTCGATTGTTTTTCTTGAATGCTTGTTCACTATTTATCCATTTTATGTAATTTCTGTTGTGCATTAGATCTCTCTCTCTCTCTCTCTCTGTGATCATGGGTTCGTAATTAGCATTTTACTTATCTATTTTCCCAATAACCTTCTGGCTGGTGATGTTATGTATTTGGACGCTGCAGCTAGTTGTTGATTATGATGACTTGATGAGAATCCCCGTGGTGAATGATTACCTTAGGGAATTTAATCGAGACGGTGTAAGGTTGAGGTAATTACTCTTCATTTGGCAACATTTTGCTTATTTCTTAATATTTCCTCGTACACTCAAATTTACATATTTGCATTCACTTTGAGTTAATTATCAAAGTTACATATACCAATACAAAACATGTTTTTCTGGTTATAGGACTGAAATGGAGGGGGAGATCGCCAAACAAGATTTCTATTTCCCCGGGCTTTTGCCCAAGATACCTGGCCGCTTTTACTATCTATTTGGGAAGCCAATACAAACAAAGGGAAAGGAAGCGATGCTAAAAGACAGAGAAAATGCAAAAGAATTGTATTTGCAGATAAAATCAGAAGTTGAGCGGAATATTGCGTTTTTGATTAAGAAGCGAGAGGAGGATCCTTACAGGGGCATTATTGAAAGAAGCATATATCAGGCAACTTCCGGGCCTATACAAAACATCCCAACATTTGAACCATGAAATACTGGTTAAATCATTTACACATTGTTTTATGCCCAACAATGGCAAACATTTTTTTTCCCTTCTTGCTTTTTCATGAGGGTAATATAGGTATGATAGGTTTGTTCTTCATTGTAATTCAGGGGTAGCATTCTCAAAAAAAATAAAAATAAAATAAACATTAGAATAGAAGCATTGTTTTAAGTTGGTATGTAACATTATTACAGCAATGTGCCCGTAAAATGGAAGAAGATATGGTTTTAAGATATATATTTGGGAGGCTTCTCTTCAATACGTGCTGTTGGGTCTTGTGGACCCTATTATGAGCCTTGCTTTGATTATTTGAATCGTCGATTTTGTTTAACTATGCGTAGATCAATATTGAAATATGAAATTTCAAAAAAAAAAAAAAAATTAATTTGATTTTTTAGTTAATTGAAATAATGAAACAATATTTTTTTCATAAATTAAGCGCTTAAAATCGTCTTCGGTAATTTTGGATGAATAGATTTTGCAAAACATATATGAAATAAATAAAAAAAATGTCCAAAACAGATTATGGTACATAAAATTATGATCTATTGAAGTTTTAAAGAGATAGCTATTTGTTCAAGTTGTTTGCACACCTTAAGATAATTAATTGTTCAAATTGTTTATGGTGTTAAAAATTCAATAGCTTATAACTTTATTTTCCGAGTTTGTTTTGGACATTTTTTTATTTCATATATATTTTTTTTAGATTTATCCATCCAAAATTGTCGAAAATGATTTTGAGTGATTACTTTTTGAAAAAATGTTGATTCACTATTTCGATTAACCAAACAATCAATCTATTAATATTTTTTTTTTTTGAAATTTCATATTCAATATTAATCTTGTTTAAAAGATCTCTCGAAATTAAAAATTCACAGATATCAATTTTGTTAAAAACAAATTCTATTTAACAGAAAATGCATGTTTTTATGAAAATACACAGGAGTTTAGCTCTCGGAGACATTGCCAAATAAGTTTAAAAATTGAATTCATGGCCTGAGCTCCCATGAAACTAACTTCACTCTTGCATTGAAGAAAATATAAGTATGACTTGGGTATTTATTAAGTTTGTTTGGGATATTGCAAAAAGTAAGAAAAAAAAAATTGAATATGTGTTTTGTGTATGCGATATATATATAGAAAGTAGACCATGCAGAAGTGTTGATACTCAATATATTTATTGAAATATCTATACTTCATGAAAAATATAATTAAAAAAGAAAAAAGAAAAAAAGAGGAGGATAATAATGGTCCCGTTTGGTAGATCTGTGGAAAAGTGATTATAGCTTATACCTTAACAGCTTATAGTTTATAACTGTGAACATAAGCTGATTTTTGACTTATAAATTAAGCTTCTCCTCCCCCACTCAAAAAATAAGTTGATTTTTTGACTTACAAAAAGCTATAAGTTGTATTGTTAAGCTGAACCAAACACATCAAAATAGCTTAAATTAAGCTAAAAGCTGAAATAAACTGAAAATAACCTCTACCAAACAGGGCCAATGTAGTTGGAAGAATCACATTTTGTTCTGACCCAACTATGCACATTTTTTTTTTTTTTGGGATCTAGTATGGCCAAAAATTTGGGATTCAAACAAGAAAATCCAAAATGCAGAATATGATCCCTCCACATTTCTTTCGGATGGGAAAATTTGTGGCTAATTTAGATGAAAATTGGGTATTGAAGTGATTTTGCCAGAAAGTTGCCAATTTGGCACCAAATTCCAATACCAATTGAACGTTACATTGTGGCCCTCCTGGGAATGGGACACCATTTTGCCTTTCGTTTACAAGCCCTAAAAAAAATAAAAATCCATCAACTTTTCAAAAAAATAAAAAAAAATCAATTTACCATGTAAAAATATTATAAAAATAAATAAATAAAATAATAATAATAATAATCACCTTGTTTGGTTTTGATTGATTTTCTGAATATTGAATTTTTTTTTGTTTTTTGTATTTTTTTTTTGTGAATTTTTTTAATATTTCAAGTAATTTTTTTACTTGAAATATGAAAATTAAAATATTTATAGAAAATTAAAAGTAAATTTTTAAGTGTATGTTATCTAAAAAAAAAGATTACATAAAATATTTTAAAAAAATAATAAAAATTAAAAAAGCACGGTAGTTTTATATAAATCAATTAGTATATTAATTAATGTATTAATACTAATTATAACATTATTATTGATTCACACTCATTATACAAATTTCAAATATTAAAAACATCTTAAATTATATCATATCATCAATTGGTATATAAATTAATATACTAATTAATACCTATAACATTATTCGAGCTTTAATTGATAATTCTTCCCTTGTCTGAACATATTGGAAATTTCAGTTTAAGTGATTCCGTAACTTTATGATGGTTGTAAGTCCAAATTTTATTTTATTTATTTATTAATATATATTTTTTATTACTCGACGTGACTGGCTTCTTGCGCCCAGTAAGATATTGTCCGCTCTGGTGAGTTGGCGAAACAACGCCCGTCGGCCTCACGACTTTAAAAGGTCTTTTACAAGGTGGAGGGGGCCAGTACGCTTATAAGTTGGTTGTAAGGTGGAGAGGACCAGTACGCTTATAAATTGGTTGCAAGTGTCCCTCACAAACGACGTGGGATTGCCCCAACATCACTCAACAACTAAGTGAATAAAATTTTCATCTTCTAATAATTGATGTAACCGAGTCAATTGCTTTATATGGAGTCCATTTCACTTAAGGTTGGCCCCCAAGATAGGCCAACAAAGCCATAAACTCTAAATTTTAACAAAATTTGATGGACTCCCACATTTTTTTTTTAAAACTCCATATATTAGTACGTTATAAAAGTGAGGTCCAGTCTATAACTTATTTAAATTTATGATAATCTTATAAATATTTTAGTTATAACTGATAATATTTTTAATTATGTTTCAAGTGGTATTTAGTTATAATCTATTATAGTCTATTAGTTATAATACAAAGTGGTATCAACACTACCAAAAAAATATTATATTTTGCATATTGGTACACCCCTTTTTTAGGGTGTGTATGGTAGAAGGACCCTTGAGAAAACAAGCTCAATTCAATCTTTGCTTTAAAAAAAATGTTATATATAATCATATTCTTTATGTCAATTTCTCAAACGAGCCTCATGTGTATTTATTGATATAAACTTTATTACTTTGTATCTTAGAGTCGAGAAATAAAATAAACAATGAGATTATGCACATATAAACATCACTTTTGCTTAATTTGTCAAGGCACATTCAAGGAGAAACTTTCTATTCTTTCTTTATAAGATTAATTCATGGAATTAAAAACATCACATTTAGTCATTAGTTATTTTAACATACAATAATAATATTATTTTTTTATTTATAATGAACTCAAAAGGAGAAACTTTTTGTTCATTATAAGATTCATTTCATATGATAAATCAATACATTTAATCACCAGTCATTTCATTTCAACACACAATGACAACATTATTATTTATTTATAATCAGCTGGGAAAGGGAAACCTTCTACACTTGATAGAATTTAAATAATACAACATTACAATCACCAGTCATGATGATAAGATTATTTGGAGTTACATTATTCCACTATTTTGCTACTAATTTAAAAGCAAACCTTCTCAGATGGTAAATTATTTATTTATTACATAGTACCATCAATACTCCACAAGACATCTTTTGTATATCATCATGCATGACTGGCTCATACTCGGAGGATGGCATGTTCAATTTACCACCATTAATGCATCAACAACTGCAAGGGAATTGCTAATACGAGTGGATATCATATGTGATTCACAACCATTCCATATATACTTACTGGTGCTACCAGACTGGAGCAATTTTTCACGACGAATTATGGGTTATAGTGACCATGTTCAGCAATCTCACTATAAACCTGCATGTATAATAGATTTTTTATATTTTTTAAAAAGTTGTACACAATGTATAACATTACAATAAATTAAGATTTTAAAGACAAAAATTTAAGGATAAAATCACTTTTTAGAGACCAATTACTTTTGTTGCCAAAAATGTTATTATTGTATTTTTAGCGATGAAATTAAACATTTAATGAAGAATTACTACTTTTGAGACCAAATTATGTCTCAAAAAATAATTTTTTTTGGCCTCAAATTATTTTGTCCCCTAAAAGTGCGTTTATTAGTGGCATTTTCAAAATGGGCCTGGCTTTGGTCCAGTCCACCATCACAGACTGGACCGTGCTGCTGTTGGGCCCGTGGGGGCCCACCACGGGTCCCGTTTTGAAAATCTGAACCGTTTAATGTGTAGAACTCGTCGAATATTATATGCCTGTAAAAAATTACATTGATCGGATATCGATAGCTATGTGATCAAAATAGTTTTTTATCAACCGTTAATTTATTCCCCGCCCATTTTTTTTATACAAAACTGATTTGATCACAAATATCCGATCAACGTGATTTTCCATAAACATATAGTACTCGATGAGTTCTACACATTGAACGGTTCAGATTTTTAAAACGGGACTCGTGGTAGACCCCCATGGACCCAACAGCATGGTCTAGTCTGATGACGGACTGGACCAAAGCCAGACCCTTTCAAAATTTTGTAACTAAAAGTTTTTTTTTTTTTTTTTTTTTTTTTTTTTTTTTTTTTTTTTTTATTTTTAGCGATTATTCTTATGACGATAGAAATTGATTTCTAAATATTTTTTCTAACAAATTTTTTAGTTTTAGAAATAAAAAAGTTTGGTCTTTAAAACTATTATTTGTTGTAGTATGTGATTTTTAAATTTTTTTTAGATTGGGTTGTAGTATGTGATATGTGCATGCAATTTCCAAATAATTAGTGATATACAAATAAAAATTGAAAAATACTACATATAGTGTTGTTTCTTGTCTCTTTTTCTCATTTCTAAACACAATTGGGTCACATATGTATTTATTGGCGTGAGCCTATTGATTTGTGTCTAAAAATAAAAATAAAAATAAAAATTAGATAAAAGGAAATGTGCTTAATATTGTGGACAATTCTCTTTAAACAAAACACTCATAAATATGGTTTTTATTACAAAATCATTCATGTCATGTTTTTTTTTTATAAATTTTCTCTAAGATTATAATATTACTTCCCGAATACGCTAATTTCTCCTTTCATCCTAAAATATTGATCCGTTTTAGAGAATTCAATTTTTTTGTAGTACAATTATTGCATTTCAAAATTGTTAAATTTCCAAAACTACCCTTTGATTTAAAATTAAAATAGTACAAATATTTTTGGGAACATCAATTGTCATGATTTAAAAAAAGGGCAAAATAAAAAATTCATATTATTTTAGTTCTTAATTTTTGAAAAAAGACAAATATTTTGAGATAATAAAAAATAAAATAATGAACTAATATTTTAAAACAACGGGAGTAGTAGTTGTACAATAGTACAATAGGTAGGAATAACAAACACGGATGTTTGGATGTCACAAAAAAAAACTACCTCTTTTTTTATTTTGTTTTTACGTCTTTAGTGATTTTTAAAAACAATTATGTCAAAATTTTTATTTTTCCAATTCGTTTTGTGTAGATGAATCTAAAAAATATATATTTTTAAAAAATTCTAAAAAAAAAAGTATAAAAAAAATATAAAATAAAAAATGGGGAAAAATTGCATTTCAATGGAGTAGTGACAAAAAATTACATTTCCACGATGGTGTAACTCTCTTGTGTGTATGGTGCAAATTCATTCATGTGTTTGGTGCAACTCTTTCTATATGTATGGGTGTAAATTTAGCTTGACATGTACACAAATTGGGTCGAGCCCAAGCCCAAGTTGGGGGTAATCGAGGTTCAGGCCAGCGGATCGAGACATTTTTTTAATTTTTTTAAAAAAAATAACATGAAAATGACGTTGAGTGTTAGACGGGTGAGGCCTCAGACCAGGTTTTGATTGGGTCAGTGGGCCGAGTCTCTAGCTGGGCTGGGTCAAAAAAAGCATGGCCCAGGCCCTAGCCCGGGGGTTGGGTTGAGTTGGACCTAGGCAGGCTTCGGGCCGGTATACCATTTTTACACCCCTACCTATATGTTAGAGTTGCACAATTTTTTTTTTTTGCATTTATAGTGCAATTATTATGTGATTGTCCCATCTATTAACAATTTTCTAAAAAAAAGCACTATTTTTTGCTTATTTTTGTCTTTCCTAGACTTTTTTTGAAATTTTGATTTTTTTTTAAAAATTTTTTGATTCATCTCATTGAACTGAATTTAGAAACCTAAAATTTTATGAAAATTTTAAAAAAAAAATCACTAAAAACAAAAATAAGCATTAAAAAAAATACCAAATAAGCAAATCCCAAACATTCACACTTACACATACGTTACATACCTTGTTGTCCAGATCGTCCACAGAGATTGAGTTGGACCAAGACATCATCCACTCACAAACTTCCTCATTATTGTTCCTTCCCAAATACACAACAGCTCCACACGATCCATTACACTTTTCAGTACCCATTTCTTTGGTTTCCCCATGCAAAAACACACCGCACTGGCCATTTCTTATAGTTACTGGGTATACACTTTCGTCAGCTGATTTCCCAGGATAATCACGGTAGGCATAAGATTTTACAATGTCCCCAGTAGCATTGTAAATCGTGCCAAATGTGCTGACTATATCACAAGGCAATTTCTTTTGCAAGTTCTCCATATATTCGCAAACTTGAGCTTCAACAGTGCTGTTCATATTGAAAGCCATACGTGCCTTGTCGACGTGTGTTATTATCGACTTGTTCGCGTATTCTGGCATTCCCTTCAAAGTTTCCTCTGTGATGGGATTGCCAAACACCTTGTACGCCATTGTCACTACAAGCTATAGATTCCTACAAACACACGTTGGTTGTTTGTGGATTTTAATAAAACATGCATATGAAATTAAGTATACTAACAAAAACAAAAAGCAAAGATTCAGATCCAGTTCACAAAGTGATTGCCTAGCCATAACAAGAGATGCAGTTTCCTGTGTTACAAATTTTATCAGTATTATAATAAGATAAGATCTTTATATCCAGTGGCGGAGTCAGGAAACTAAATCAGAAGGGACACTTCTTGATTACAATTTTAATTTTTTTTTCCATAACCAACAATAAGAATATAATAATAATTTTTGAATTAATATCAAGTACAAAAACTTAAATAAATTATTACAAAAGTGAGAGGGTAATTTGTAAACAAATTGGGCCGAGCTAGGAAAAGTCTTCTTTAGGAGTTAGACCGCGTAATGAGCCGAGATAAGGGCTGGTGTAGCTCGGTCTTAGGCCAAGAAGACATCTCATATTTTGGGTTTGGGCCGAACTATGGACCAAGGTATCGGTAGAAAGAGGATCGAGCTAAACGATAGCTCTACAAGGCGTCATCTCGAAGTCAAGACTGATAGTAGTGCTTAAAGTATCACAGAGCCGAAGTAACTTGGCTGACCGCAATGTTAGCCGAGGTAAAGATGTCAGCCGAAATAAGTGGGCCTGGTGGTTAGCCGAGGTATTGGTGAGAAAGGATGTCAGGCTTGGTATAGCTCGGCCGCCGGTCTTGGTATAACTCGGCCGGGCGCCATCTACATCATTACTTAAACGTGTGACCGAGGTAACTTAGCTTGGTGTGGTTGCAGCAGCTTATTAAAAGGAGGTAGCATCAATGGCAAGGGTCGAGCTGTGTATAGCTCGGCAGGATGGCATCCGTTAGATCGGCTTTCGATCACACGATCTGAAGGGCAGGGGACCGAGATAAATCAGTTTGGGTAGGAATGTATAACCAAGGTAAAAGGTTCAGCCATCTCACTTGGCTTGCAGCGATGAGACTCCTAGTAGGACTCTGTTAAGGAGAGTTTAATTTTTTTAAAAAAAATAACATGAAAATGACGTTGAGTGTTAGACGGGTGAGGCCTCAGACCAGGTTTTGATTGGGTCAGTGGGCCGAGTCTCTAGCTGGGCTGGGTCAAAAAAAGCATGGCCCAGGCCCTAGCCCGGGGGTTGGGTTGAGTTGGACCTAGGCAGGCTTCGGGCCGGTATACCATTTTTACACCCCTACCTATATGTTAGAGTTGCACAATTTTTTTTTTTTGCATTTATAGTGCAATTATTATGTGATTGTCCCATCTATTAACAATTTTCTAAAAAAAAGCACTATTTTTTGCTTATTTTTGTCTTTCCTAGACTTTTTTTGAAATTTTGATTTTTTTTTAAAAATTTTTTGATTCATCTCATTGAACTGAATTTAGAAACCTAAAATTTTATGAAAATTTTAAAAAAAAAATCACTAAAAACAAAAATAAGCATTAAAAAAAATACCAAATAAGCAAATCCCAAACATTCATCTATACTTCATGAAAAATATAATTAAAAAAGAAAAAAGAAAAAACACAATACCTTTATCGTTTAATTTTTAAATTTATGTCAATTTAATTTAGTCAGTAGAAATATTACAATTTTGAACAAAAAATTAATTATATATGTTTAAGCATACCAGTTTTCAAAGACAAAGAGGCTCAAGTCCACACCGCTCTCGGAGCCCTGATAGACAAAGGCAGAAGATGGATCATCAGGTTCTCGAAGATCGCCTAAGGGAGCAAGACGAAGTAATAAGAAGAATAGCGGCTGACATAAAGTTTATGAAGAGCGAGATAAAAAGAAAAGGAGTGGCAACAAAAGAGGGGAGCAGAGGCAACACACACTCCTGCCACTCAGAAGATCATGACAGACAAGTCACACTATCACAAACTGAAAGTAGAAGCCTCAGGTCGGGTGATACACAATCTAAGACTTCCAGGACACACTACTCATGACCTGAGAGAAAGAAGACTGAGAGGGCTCGAAGGAGAGAAGACACTCAGGCTCGTGACCCCCGCAGAGTCTCCGCACTACAACGATTGGCTCCTAGAACACATAGGAGTGTCAAGGTTGGAATTCCAGAACCACGCCTCGCCTATGAACCAGCAGACAAAGCATTAGCAAGGTTGCACAGCTTACCGTTCATCCCGACAATTGAGGACGCACCATTACCCTTAGGCTTCCATCAGCCTAAATTCATAAATTATGAGGGGGAGTCAGACCCCTACATACACTTAAGCCACTTTCGCCAGGTTATAGCCGTGTATCGACGAAACGAGCCCTTAATGTGTATCATGTTTCTGTCCAGCCTTGGCGACATGGGTTTAGCATGGTTTGAAAGGTTACCAGAAGGTAGTATAGCCTCATAGATGCAACTAACGGAGGCATTTGTAATCAGATTCAGAACAAACACCAAGACGCCAGTGGAGATTGACCAGCTTCTCTCCATCAGCATGGGTAAGAAGAAAACATTGAAGTCTTACGACAATCGGTATTGGGAGACCTTCAACCAAGTAACAGATTGTTCTACAAACCTAGCTATTGCACAGTACAAGCAAGGTCTGTTAGTGGGTCATGAATTGAGAGATTCAATAACAATGACGCCACCTCTTACTATGGAAGCCCTGATGGAGCGAGTGCACCAACACATCTTGGTAGAGGAAGATGGGATGCACACCAAGGTAGAGTTCGATACAAACAGTGATATCGGACAGAACACCTTCAGCAAAAGTTAGCACGGTTGTAAAGAAGGACTAACCAAACGCTTAGCTCTATGTTGGCCGGAATAACCAACATTTAGCTCTCCTAAGCCGAGATAAGGATATCTAGGCTGCAGGAAGTTGGCAGGTTGGACCAACAAGTCTTTGGCCGACTTGGGGGGAAATCAAGAAGTTTGGCAGGAATAACCAAACGCTTAGCTCTATGTTGGCCGGAATAACCAACATTTAGCTCTCCTAAGCCGAGATAAGGATATCTAGGCTGCAGGAAGTTGGCAGGTTGGACCAACAAGTCTTTGGCCGACTTGGGGGGAAATCAAGAAGTTTGGCAGGAATAACCAAACGCTTAGCTCTATGTTGGCCGGAATAACCAACATTTAGCTCTCCTAAGCCGAGATAAGGATATCTAGGCTGCAGGAAGTTGGCAGGTTGGACCAACAAGTCTTTGGCCGACTTGGGGGGAAATCAAGAAGTTTGGCAGGAATAACCAAACGCTTAGCTCTATGTTGGCCGGAATAACCAACATTTAGCTCTCCTAAGCCGAGATAAGGATATCTAGGCTGCAGGAAGTTGGCAGGTTGGACCAACAAGTCTTTGGCCGACTTGGGGGGAAATCAAGAAGTTTGGCAGGAATAACCAAACGCTTAGCTCTATGTTGGCCGGAATAACCAACATTTAGCTCTCCTAAGCCGAGATAAGGATATCTAGGCTGCAGGAAGTTGGCAGGTTGGACCAACAAGTCTTTGGCCGACTTGGGGGGAAATCAAGAAGTTTGGCAGGAATAACCAAACGAGTGGTTGGCTGGATTAAACCAACTCTTGGTACTCTTTAGCCGAAGTAAGTATATCGGCTAAAGAGTGGTTGACTGGATTAAACCAACACTTGGTACTCTTTAGCCAAAGTAAGGATATCGGCTAAAGAGTGATTGACTGGAAAAACCAACACTTACTTTTCCTAAGATGAGATAAGGATCTAGGCTACAGGAAGTTGGCAGGTATGTCCAACAAAATTTCTGAAACTCTTTGGCCGGGATGATGGTTACCTCGGCCAAAACAGGTTGGCAAACCGAGTTAGTCTGTTCTGCAAGACACAGAAAGAACGACTCGATGTATACAAACGCGAAGGATACATACGTTAAAGGCAAAAAATCAGGGCTATTCAAATTTTTGGCATAACGATGGTAACGAGGAGAACAAGGATATTGGGGGCACGCCATGTATCCTGGGAATAACGTCGTACCAGATTAGTGGAAGGACATGCTAAGCACAACTGACAAGGCTTATTGGGACCGAACAAGTCGTGAACCGAACAACTTCTTAGCTCGGCTAGAGGAAAAATAATCTCAATCATGCTACGCAGATGGAATTAAGGGGCAATTGAGAGGGTAATTTTGTAAACAAATTGGACCGAGCTAGGAAGAGTCTTCTTTAGGAGTTGGACCGCGTAATGGGCCGAGATAAGGGGCTGCGTGTAAGCTCGATCTTAGGCCAAGAAAGACACTCATATTTTGGGTTGTTGGGCCGACTATGGACCGAGGTATCGGTAGAAGAGACGACCGGCTAAACGATAGCTCTGCAGGGCGTCATCTCGAAGTCAGACTGGTAGTAGTGCTTAAAGTATCACAGAGTCGAACTAACTTGGCTGACCCGCAATGTTAGCCGAGGTACAGCTCTCTACAATAGGGGCCGGTGGTTTAGCCGAGGTATTGTGTGAGAAAGGTATTTCGGTTTGGTATAGCTCGCCGGTCCTTGGATA